GAATCTAAATAATAAAAAAAAGAAATGGAATGAAATGGAACAAAAACAGCCGGCATCATTTTTGTTTGCAAGTTGCATGTATGTAGAGTCGGCAAAGTGCAGCTTATTTCGGGTATACCGCCTGACAAAATGTCAGATCAACAGACGGCAGCGTATACATTACCTTCCGCAAAGCCCATACAATGCCACGGCCTGTCAGGTCTCTCGGTTCCCGATTCCCGATTCCCGGTTCCCGATTCCTGATCCCCAAACTCTGACTCCCTCCAGAGACCGTCGAAGTAGCTCCAGACGGGGCCAGGACTGGCCAAACATGTGCCAATTGTATTGCCATCGTAGCGGCAGAACCTCACAGAGCCCCAGAGATCTGGGCCAGCTGAAGTGCCTTTGGGCCTTTGAGAACGAGAGCCCCGGCTCGCAGATCGCTGAAGCAGATAATCTAGCTTGGCAACGGATCGAAACAGCCGTAGTCAGCCACTTAGAGGCATTCTGTGCACTAAAAATACAATGAAGATTAAATTATATACGAGTATAGTACTTTAAGCCCCTCAAAATATCATTCAAAAATACGTTTAAACGGTCACCGATAAAAACTATTCGGTTCATAGCAGCTAATAAGTACTATAGTATCTGAAGATATTTAAACGATTTGAAAATACTTACAGATCTACCGTACAAATGCAAATGAAATCTATGATGCATTTAAATGACCCTGTTAATGTGTCGAACAACTCACATATCAAACCAAACATTCAAATCTTTAGACAAAAGACAGTAGTTAGTGGTGTGCCTTTTGCTGTTCGGCGAACGGCTCAGCATCTTCTGCCAATTGGCGAGGGGCTCCTTTACTGCATTCCGCTCGACGAAGTTTGCCTTTGAATGACAATCCTCGGCAGTCAAAATGTCAATTAATTGTGAAACGACAGCCGTACGTCGTCGGCATCGCCTGACAGTCTGGCAGCGATCACGTTGAGGGGAATGAAAAAGACGGCTAACACGGCTTCAATAACTGGAATCGATCCATACTCGTATGTTTGGAACAGGGACCATCTAAGCTAGGGCTAATGAAGAATTACAGATCTAAAGTATGTTGATCTGCATATGCCGCTGCTGACGGCACTGATGAACATCAATAGTTTTGGGGTTTTGCCGATCTTTGCATCGTAGGCAAATTAATACCGCAAATGAAGTCACCGATCGGATGTTATCCATTATGAATTTGCGAATTATACTACTTTATACAATTCACAGTCCCTAGCCCATTTTTTCTGCGTTTATTGAACGTCCAGCCATGAGTTTACGCCGCTAACTGTGGTCACCGTTCGCTAATTGCAAACGCTTTCGCAGCGAATTAAATCAGTCGACTTTGAAGTTGTGCCGCCAGTGAGTCTGAACGCTCCCCCAACCTCAGGCATCTGGCAAACAGCTGTCAATTCGCATAAAACCGCTCACGTCCGCAAAAAAAGCAGCCAAACGGCAGCTAAATAAAATAAAGCGTAAATCAAATGTATTAGAGCCAAACTTCTGAAGTTCACCGAGCTCTTTAAACACCTTTCATAAGTAAAATAGTTTAATCAAATACAACTAACTTACGAAAGAATTGAAAAATTCTTAAAGCTATTCAACTTTATTCAGTCGAAGAGCCATTCCCTTTTTAAATCAGCGACTTGTCTCTAAGATGTGGTATATCCGCAACGAATGGACTGACCAAACTTGAATTTGAGACGCCAAGTGGTGCGTCAAGAGGAGATCTCACTGTCTGTTCAACTATCCATGAGTCTTTGCCGTGTGTGCGGCCTTTTCAGCGGCATTTCGCAACACTTGTCACACTGACAGGCGGCAAATTGTTTGAGGCCTCCAATCCGCATGCAAGTCGAAAGCCAACACTAGATGCATCTGGCAGATACAGATATCGCACACTCACCCGGGACGGAGGTTCCACAAGTGGCGGCGGTCTTTAAAAGGAGTCGGATGGCTTAAGGGGAACGGGCTAGAGATTTTTATGAAAGAAATATTGAAGACTGTTTTCTACTGCCAATAAACAGCAAAAAAACATAAATAAGGGGTACCATCATCAAAATTTGCGAAAAATGGCAAACAAATTAAAATTTTTTGTTTGAATACAGGTCGAACGGAAATTTTGTTACGAATTCAACGAGATATCTAGTTTTGGACAAGTATTTATAATAAAAAATGTTTTTATATCCGACGGTATTCCCTGCCGGTATACCCTTCAAAAAAACACGTATTCTAGTCAAAGTGCCGCTGGTCTGCTTTTATTTTTTGCAACGCAATCATTAATCAAAATCGAACAATCATTACGTTTGCGTTTAGGTTGTGAGGTGTCAACTTGACCATTGTTGTTGCTGTTCTGTGCCTTGTAATTGAATTTTGAAAAGGGGCGGTATGAGGGGGTATCGAATTGTTTTTGGGACTGACAGACTTCACTGAAAAAGTGTGAAACACGCTACGAACGAAGCTAAAAGAGATAAAAAGAAAAAACCAAAATGAAAGGAAATAGCCGCGAGTCGAAAGGCAATAAGAAACTGAAGGGGAAGAGAAAGAAAAACCCAAATTTTACGTTTTTAAGTAAATTAATCTGTGAAGCTATACAGCCGACAAAACACACAAAGTTCTCAACTTTTTTAAAATCTCTCTTAAGCCCCAGTTTGTTATAAAAACCGCGGTCTCAGGAGTAATGACTAGTACACATTGCAAAATAATATTTCACTTGGATTTTTACCATTAAAAGCACCGATCTAACAAAAGACTGCCCTTAAAAACCCCATAACAACCAAAACGAATTCGTAATTTTCGTCGGGTGGGCGAGAACCGCGGCGAATCGCCAACATTTCGACGACTTTTGCGTCGCCGAAAAGAAAAAAGTATACCGAAGAGCTCCAAAAAGAGGAAAAGGCCCAAAGCGTTGCAGATTGCATTCGCTTCGCAGACTGGAGAGTCGGAGGAGCTGGGGATCATCGTGAGCAGGGGGGTGAAAGGCAGCAGTGCCCTCTTGCATTAATAATACATTTCAGACACTTGGCCAGCTTTTAGGCACATTGGTTGGACAGGCGATGTTTCAGAGACGTCAAGCAAGAACGATTTTCAAAGACTGCTGCTAGTCTCAAGCTTATACCAACTAGTGCATTTGTACTTATTTGATTTGGATACTCCCAATTTGTATGAACGGGTACAAGAAATACTGTGCAACTTATCTTACCCACATCTTGATGAATACAATTTGTTGCACTTATTCCGAGCTCGGGACCACTGTTGGTGCCTCACCTGTCTTGCCTTCCTTACATGCTTTGCACGTCTCTCTCGCTATGAGTCTCGCCCTCTCACTCCCAAAGCAGGTCTATTAGGCTGATTGCCGCTTCGTTTTTGTTGGTTCGACTGGCTTTCGGCCAAGAGGATGATTATGGCCAAGGCGATGATGTGGTTCACTAGCCGGCTGCATCATTAAATTATTATTGCGGGCAGCCATTTTCCAGAGGAGAGCTGCAAAAGCCTAAAAAATTGTAAATCGCGTGTCTAATGCTCCATTCGAGATGCCCGCCGGTTCTTGAACGCCGGCCTGTTTCTTTCTTTCCTTCTCTCCTTCTTTCCTTCCTACCTCTTCTCGGTTTTTTGGCCTAATGTGGCTTAATTATACAACAACAATATGGTTACTGTTTGCCAGCAAACAAAGAGCTCGACGAACGGGCCATCAAATCCTTGTCAAGAGTCCCAGTCCCAGCCCCAGCCCCATCCCCTCCATGATCCATGATCGGTGATCGGTGATGGGTATGCGACCTGAGTCGCTTTCTTGAGAAAACGCTGCTCGATAATTCGATGCAGCTTTTTTCTCTCCAGGTTTCCTGACTTCTTTCTTTCCGTCTGCCCCATTTGTCTTGGGGACCTGGTCCTTGTTTTTTCCTGCCGCGCTGACTTGTCTAAAATTCCACAAATTCATAAATGTTGATCCGTCTGGTTCGTCATCGTCATCAAAGTCGGCATTTCTCGTCCATAGACAATGGACAAAGAAAAAGTCGATGGAACGCTATGTTGAGGGCCTCGACTACGAGATACCCAATACTGAAATGACTTTTATCATTACTTTAAGTCGTTTTGCATCGCACTCATGGCACATGGCAATGGCGTGGATTAGGAACTTTTTAAGCAGGACGTAAACACATTTATAATAAGACACGTTAAGATTAAACATACCTTCAGACTTCTTGGCTGTATAGTCTTCTGATTAGTTGGAGCCGAGCCGAGAGGAGGGAACGTGGCTTCCTTTGAAGTTATTAGATTGCATGGCTGGTAATTGACAATTAATTGCCATCGACAACTGCAAATGGCGATGGAATGAGCTCGCAACTCGCAACTCGCAACTAAGAAACTGGCGGCGTTTTCGCCATGTGTGAAGTCTGACGCAAGTTTTCACACCAAACAAAGCAACTTGCGAGATTAGTAATGGAAAATAAACATGAAAAGACTCACAGATCATCCGCACACAAAAATTACACAAACAAGTTTGTGCGAAAGAGCAAATCACTCCCATTCCAAGTACCTGGCTAACTTAATTAGCGAAATAATTCTCTCCACCAACTTGTTTTCCAAATCGGGCAGCAAAGGCAGTGAATCCAGAATCATTACCATTACACGATCTAATTCGGCAATTTCAGCTAATTTAATACCAGACATTAGCGAAGGCCGGTGTAAGCAAACTGCAATTGTGTAATTTTGCAAATGGCAAACATTTGTTACAATCGCTCTTTGTTGCTGCTTGCGTGTCGGCAAACAACAAAGGCGGGCAGCGTTTCTATTGGATTTGTATTACATAATATTATAGACCCCAATCTACAAGAGTGTGAAACGGAATGAAAATTTTCCCTGTTTACAGCAAACGTTTTGTATTTGGTATTTGGGGAAACTGCTAAGAGTTCTTCAGAATGTTGCCTTAATTATTTTTTCAAAATCACATTACTAATTATTTTATTTCGCTCCCTGCATTGCAGATCGCCAAACTGGTGCCCCTAATAGAATCCGGTTGCTCGCGTCGCGCCCGCTTTCTGCTCTGCTCATCTCTGTTTCCGCTGTGCACGCCGGATGTGCCACGCCCCGTTGCCGCCTGCAAATTGCTGTGCGAGACCGTAAGAGGGGAGTGTATGGAAAACGCTCCGCCGGAACTGATGGAGCTGTGGCCTTCGTTCCTCAACTGCGACGGGCTGCCGCAGCCGGAGAAGCACGAGCTGTGCATGCAGATTCCCCAGGAGCTGGCTGGGCCAGGCGGGGGTCCAAGTGGTCCAAGTGGCCCGCCCACCACTGGTTCACCCAGCCTCGAAGACCACCCGCAGACGTACCGCTTTTGGAAGAGTGGAGTACCACCTGCCTCTGGCTTGGGCGGCGTCCTGTGCCCGCAGAACTTTAGCGGCAGTCCCTTCAATCCGGAGGAGTGCGTGCCCCAGTGTCAGCGGGACGCCTTCCACACGAGCTCTCAGAAGAAGACGTCTGAGACCCTGATCCTGGGCCTTTCGGCCGTCTGCTTCGTCCTGACCCTGTTCGCCCTGGTGACCTTCTGGGCGGAGCCTACCAGGTTTGGTTACCCCGAGAGACCAGTGCTCTTCCTATGCCTCTGCTACAACCTCTTCAGCGTGTGCTATCTGGAGCGGATTGTGTTCCACAACCAAGCCAGGATGCACGACGTCGAGGTGCAAGGGCGCCTGATGCGACCGGGCTGCTTGCTTACGCCACCTTGCCTGGCCTCCTACATAACCACCTCCTATTTAAGCCTGTGTGCCGCCAGCTGGTGGCTAATATTCGCCCTGTGCTTCTACCTGTCCTCCCACAAAAAGTGGTCCAGCGAGGCGTTGGAGAAGCGATCCGGCCTGTTCCACGTTCTGGCCTGGGTGCCACCGCTGGCGCCTCCCATTGCCGCCCTGCTGCTGGAGAAGGTGCGTCCGAGTGAGCTGACAGGAATGTGCTATGCACCGGGTTTTGTGGAACTGCCTGCCCTGGTCCTACTCCTGCTTGGGCTGTACTTCACCCTGAGAGCCTCCAGGTCCCTGCTCTCCCTGCAACAGGAGCTGCAGCCCACCCTGGCCCACCACCGATTCGGGCAGATCCGGAAGCGCTTCGTGGTCTTCTCCCTGCTGTACTTCGCACCCACGACCGCCGGCGTGGTGGCGGCTCTTTGCGAGCGCTACGCAGACTCAGTGCCCAGCTGCTCCACCCCCGATGATTGCCTCTCCCCCACTCCGCTCAGTGCCTGGCCAGCGCTGGTCCGGATATTCTTCCAGCTGGTGGGCGGAACGTTGACGGGCTTGTGGGTGTGGTCGCGCAAGACCTGCGAGAGCTACAGAAATCGGCTGGGGGCCAGCGGCACACCCACCTCGTCCCTGATGAATCAAAGCAAGTCGGCCGGAGCTCTGCCCAAAAAGCACTTGTACACGAGTGGGAAATCCATGCTGCCCACGGGGGGAATCACTCCTCTATATGCTGGTATTAGTTTTCACAATGTGCCCGTCTACAACCCCAACCAATCGAGAGTTTAGGGGCTCCAGGCACACCTCTACCCCACTATTGTACATATAACATACACATCATAGAAGGCTTTGAGCCCGGATCAGGTAACATGATCGAACATACGCCTAGTTTGTAAGCCCGAAAAGGAGAAACTGAAATGTGTTAATAGCTTTATAGATCGCGCTCCCCAATTGCCCATCACCTCTAGTTTTTATCAGTAGTGCTCTAGCTAGTCCTAAGTCTGTAAATAGTAACAAGTTTTGTTCATGCCTTAAATATTGTAAGCCTGCCTAGTAGAATAAACTGTAATAAATTATTTGAATTAAAGATGAATGGTAATTCAAGTGGGCTCCAAACGTATTAGGACCTAAAGCTGCCGTTCTCACGGCACAGAGCTCGTCACTTCGTAAGCCCCATCCATGTGGGCTAATGATGCGAAAGTTGTCGCTGCAAAAAGGCAAGGGATGGGGAGTGCGGCAAGTTCTCTTAATTGCAACAAAACGGCTAATTTACTTGTTTTATGCTATTGTCTGCGGTCCGCGCCATGGCAATTAGAGGGCAAATGCCTAATGACAGAGCCCATCGTGAGCGGATGGAAATGCTGTACCTAATCCTCCACCTGTTCGTACACTCCAGCTCTGCGGCTTAGGGCTTCTGTTTGCGATTCCTGTATGGTGTCCTAAAATATTATTATTATTTTATAAATGATTAAACTACCTTGAAAACAAAGGTTTCTGATCCACGTGGACTTGAAATAGCAACCTACTTTTTAGCACAAGTACCCTGCTTTCTGGATATTTGGGTTGCGCCAGAACATCGGCAATTGGTATCAACAATTAATTTGATTGAAGCTGCCACACCGCCTGCCGCGCCAACGAACCTATCCTAAAAAATTGCCGGGCGTCGTGGCAGGCAACAAGCCGAAACACTGCGGCAACATCGCCACAATAGCAACAGCAACAGCAACTGTGCAGCAAGCGTGCAATTAACTCTTGTGCGCCAAGATCAAAGCGATTAATGCGGCTCCGACTCGGACTCGGCCAAGTTCCCAGACGAGGAGACGGAGGCCAGGGCACTTGGAACAGTGCAGCGGAGGGAAGGGAGTCCAAGACCAAGAAGAAGAGGACGGGACGGGACGGGGCAAAAGCGATTCCAAGCCTGGTCTGGAGCTGTATCGTCATTTTCAGTCTCGCCCTTTTGGGCGAAAAAAATGATGTTGTTTGAGTAAGTTTTAGAGTCCCAGTCTTAAAAGATAATGAACGAAAGCCGAACGATGAGTAACTTCAAGCCAGAAGGTCAAGCGGTAAGCTTAGGCAGTGTTGTTATTCAGGCCACGAGAACAAATATGTAGGTGATATTTGAACCAATTCTCCATTTTAAGATGCAGACCTCAACTTTCAAAGATATTTTTACCAGTTCACTTTTGATGCTACCCCTTACAAGAAGGTAAAAAAATGTATTTTGCCAAATCCGTTCAAAAGGATAGGAGGTTAGCGTTGGCAATTAGCGGCCAATATTTCACAAAAGTCGTTTTTCCGATTTTCCGACATAAAATAATCAGTTTTTTGGCAACAACTTTAAAAATAATTGTCTGAATATGGAATGCCATACATCGTTGAGCTCGTATTTAAATTTCCAATCGAACTGGATCAAAAAATAGGAATTAAATTTTTTGGCCATTTTTTGCAAATTTTGTTGATGTTACCCCTTACAAAAAAAAACAAAAAATCACAAAAAAAATGATTTTCCCAAGTCCGTCAAAAAGTGATAGGGGTGGTTAGAGTTGGTAATTAGCTGCTCAAAACTGTCATTCTTTCATCTTTTTGATCATTTTTATGGAAGTTATGATGAAAATTCCCTTCGAAAATATCGAATATTTCACAAAAGTCGTTTTTCCGATTTTCCGACATAAAATAATCCGTTTTTTGGCCACAACTTTAAAAATAATTGTCTGAATATGGAATGCCATACATCGTTGAGCTCGTATTTAAATTTCCAATCGAACTGGATCAAAAAATAGGAATTAAATTTTTTGGCCATTTTTTGCAAATTTTGTTGATGTTACCCCTTACAAAAAAGGACAAAAAATCACAAAAAAAATGATTTTCCCAAGTCCGTCAAAAAGTGATAGGGGTGGTTAGAGTTGGTAATTAGCTGCTCAAAACTGTCATTCTTTCATCTTTTTGATCATTTTTATGGAAGTTATGATGAAAATTCCCTTCGAAAATGTCGAATATTTCACAAAAGTCGTTTTTTCCGATTTTCCGACATAAAATAATCAGTTTTTTGGCCACAACTTTAAAAATAATTGTCTGAATATGGAATGCCATACATCGTTGAGCTCGTATTTAAATTTCTAATCGAACTGTATCAAAAAATAGAAATTAAATTTTTTGGCCATTTTTTGCAAATTTTGTTAATGTTACCCCTTACAAAAAAAGACAAAAAATCACAAAAAAAATGATTTTCCCAAGTCCGTCAAAAAGTGATAGGGGTGGTTAGAGTTGGTAATTAGCTGCTCAAAACTGTCATTCTTTCATTTTTTTGATCATTTTTATGGAAGTTATGATGAAAATTCCCTTCGAAAATATCGAATATTTCACAAAAGTCGTTTTTCCGATTTTCCGACATAAAATAATCAGTTTTTTGGCCACAACTTTAAAAATAATTGTCTGAATATGGAATGACATACATCGTTGAGCTCGTATTTAAATTTCTAATCGAACTGTATCAAAAAATAGGAATTAAATTTTTTGGCCATTTTTTGCAAATTTTGTTGATGTTACCCCTTACAAAAAAAGACAAAAAATCACAAAAAAAATGATTTTCCCAAGTCCGTCAAAAAGTGATAGGGGTGGTTAGAGTTGGTAATTAGCTGCTCAAAACTGTCATTCTTTCATTTTTTTGATCATTTTTATGGAAGTTATGATGAAAATTCCCTTCGAAAATATCGAATATTTCACAAAAGTCGTTTTTCCGATTTTCCGACATAAAATAATCAGTTTTTTGGCCACAACTTTAAAAATAATTGTCTGAATATGGAATGCCATACATCGTTGAGCTCGTATTTAAATTTCTAATCGAACTGTATCAAAAAATAGGAATTAAATTTTTTGGCCATTTTTTGCAAATTTTGTTGATGTTACCCCTTACAAAAAAAGACAAAAAAAAAGGGGTAACACCTTACAAAAAAAAACAAAAAATCACAAAAAAAATGATTTTCCCAAGTCCGTCAAAAAGTGATAGGGGTGGTTAGAGTTGGTAATTAGCTGCTCAAAACTGTCATTCTTTCATCTTTTTGATCATTTTTATGGAAGTTATGATGAAAATTCCCTTCGAAAATGTCGAATATTTCACAAAAGTCGTTTTTCCGATTTTCCGACATAAAATAATCAGTTTTTTGGCCACAACTTTAAAAATAATTGTCTGAATATGGAATGCCATACATCGTTGAGCTCGTATTTAAATTTCCAATCGAACTGGATCAAAAAATAGGAATTAAATTTTTTGGCCATTTTTTGCAAATTTTGTTGATGTTACCCCTTACAAAAAAAGACAAAAAATCACAAAAAAAATTATTTTCCCAAGTCCGTCAAAAAGTGATAGGGGTGGTTAGAGTTTGTAATTAGCTGCTCAAAACTGTCATTCTTTCATTTTTTTGATCATTTTTATGGAAGTTATGATGAAAATTCCCTTCGAAAATATCGAATATTTCACAAAAGTCGTTTTTCCGATTTTCCGACATAAAATAATCAGTTTTTTGGCCACAACTTTAAAAATAATTGTCTGAATATGGAATGCCATACATCGTTGAGCTCGTATTTAAATTTCCAATCGAACTGGATCAAAAAATAGGAATTAAATTTTTTGGCCATTTTTTGCAAATTTTGTTGATGTTACCCCTTAAAAAAAAGACAAAAAATCACAAAAAAAATGATTTTCCCAAGTCCGTCAAAAAGTGATAGGGGTGGTTAGAGTTGGTAATTAGCTGCTCAAAACTGTCATTCTTTCATTTTTTTGATCATTTTTATGGAAGTTATGATGAAAATTCCCTTCGAAAATATCGAATATTTCACAAAAGTCGTTTTTCCGATTTTCCGACATAAAATAATCAGTTTTTTGGCCACAACTTTAAAAATAATTGTCTGAATATGGAATGCCATACATCGTTGAGCTCGTATTTAAATTTCTAATCGAACTGTATCAAAAAATAGGAATTAAATTGTTTGGCCATTTTTTGCAAATTTTGTTGATGTTACCCCTTACAAAAAAAGACAAAAAAAAAGGGGTAACACCTTACAAAAAAAAACAAAAAATCACAAAAAAAATGATTTTCCCAAGTCCGTCAAAAAGTGATAGGGGTGGTTAGAGTTGGTAATTAGCTGCTCAAAACTGTCATTCTTTCATCTTTTTGATCATTTTTATGGAAGTTATGATGAAAATTCCCTTCGAAAATGTCGAATATTTCACAAAAGTCGTTTTTCCGATTTTCCGACATAAAATAATCAGTTTTTTGGCCACAACTTTAAAAATAATTGTCTGAATATGGAATGCCATACATCGTTGAGCTCGTATTTAAATTTCCAATCGAACTGGATCAAAAAATAGGAATTAAATTTTTTGGCCATTTTTTGCAAATTTTGTTGATGTTACCCCTTACAAAAAAAGACAAAAAATCACAAAAAAAATTATTTTCCCAAGTCCGTCAAAAAGTGATAGGGGTGGTTAGAGTTTGTAATTAGCTGCTCAAAACTGTCATTCTTTCATTTTTTTGATCATTTTTATGGAAGTTATGATGAAAATTCCCTTCGAAAATATCGAATATTTCACAAAAGTCGTTTTTCCGATTTTCCGACATAAAATAATCAGTTTTTTGGCCACAACTTTAAAAATAATTGTCTGAATATGGAATGCCATACATCGTTCAGCTCGTATTTAAATTTCCAATCGAACTGGATCAAAAAATAGGAATTAAATTTTTTGGCCATTTTTTGCAAATTTTGTTGATGTTACCCCTTAAAAAAAAGACAAAAAATCACAAAAAAAATGATTTTCCCAAGTCCGTCAAAAAGTGATAGGGGTGGTTAGAGTTGGTAATTAGCTGCTCAAAACTGTCATTCTTTCATTTTTTTGATCATTTTTATGGAAGTTATGATGAAAATTCCCTTCGAAAATATCGAATATTTCACAAAAGTCGTTTTTCCGATTTTCCGACATAAAATAATCAGTTTTTTGGCCACAACTTTAAAAATAATTGTCTGAATATGGAATGCCATACATCGTTGAGCTCGTATTTAAATTTCTAATCGAACTGTATCAAAAAATAG